CGTGTAGAGCAGGACTTGCTCTACTGCTTTGCGTGGCTCGTGCATAGGCAGGTTTGTGGCAAAGTGCTTGGCTGCTTGGTGTAATGTCACCCCAGTGAGGTCCTGCCGCAGCTGACTAAGGCAGAAAGGGGCCAGGGCTTCCTGGAGAACATCACCATTGACCGCAAAGCCTAAACTTGACTCCCTCCGAAGAGTGGGAGGTTCATGTGGGATCGCTGCTGCCAGGCACAGTGTCTTGCGCTGTTGTTTGGCTGCGTCATGTGATCCTTCAAAACTGGCCTCCCCCTCAGCTTGGCACTGGCTGGGCTCTTTGTGCTGGTGTCCTGCTTTCGGCCCGGAGATGAAGCTGCACCTGCCCAAAGGCGTGGCAATCCGAACCAGCGGCCGACTTGCAAAGGCGTGGCTGTGGCTGGAAGAAGCAGGGGCTGTGCCTTGGCACAGCCTGTCCCTGGTTGGGGCACAGATGGCTTTTGGTTGACCCTGGTTATCAGCCGTATTATCAAGGCAGAGCGCCCGGGGGCCCTCAGTGTGGTAGATGGCGGGGCGCTGTGAAGCACAAGCGGCACCGTGGGTCACAACTAGGTCCTGCGGCTCATTTACCTGCGCCGATATGCTGCTTGCGTCATGAATGTGCCTCCTGCCAAGGGGCGTCGGGACAGACAGGGGCTGCACACTAGCCCGTCGCCGTTGGACATCAACCTGAAGCAAGCTGAGACTGCTAGCGGCGCTTCCAGAAGATTCCGGCCGCGGCCTGACTCTTGCCCGGTCCGAGACAGCACCGGCCGGAACCCTCACGCGAAAAACAGCACCATCCTTCACCTCCATAGGCGGATACACGGCTGTGTAGGGTAGGCGCGGGAGGATATGAAGTGCAGGCTCGATGGGGACACTCGGATTGATTGCCGTAGGAATAAAGAATTCAGGGTCACCAGGGACAGGAAGCAGCAGAGTGCGGTATGAATCTGCGGCATCAACCTGGACCACAACGGAGTCGACAAGGCTTATGGGGCGTTCACCGGCTACTAGAATAGCCCCTTCCGCTATGGCCCCCGAGGAGCGCAAAGCTGGCTCAGACTCCTGGAGAGTAGGCGACACTGGGCAAGAAACTGCAAAGAGCAACGGAGGATTCCAGGCACATAGGACCCAGATGGCAACTTTGCCAGGGCCGAAAGTGCCGAAGGTAAGAAGCCGCCCTGCCTCTACCTCCTTGTAGTATCGCAAAAAGGCTCGTGCCGCATGCTCAGCCAGATCAGCCGCCATACCACCATGACCGTGCGTAAGAGGCGGAAAGGCCAGAGGCAGAGCCCATAAACGCAACTGTCTGATCCGCCGCATCCAGACGGTCGCCGGTGAAATGGTCAAGGAACCTCGGCACGTATTGGGGACCAACTGAAGATAGTCTCCAGGCCGGAGTGCTCGTCGAAGTCCTTGCATGGGAACCCCGTTAACCAAGTAAGTCAGGCCTCGTGCCACTTGGTTGGGCTTGAGAAGCTCCTCAGCCCAGGTGCTGTCAGGTACTTCAACCGAATACAGGCCCTGGCCCTGAGTGGTGATATCAATCACGATGGCAACGAACCCAGGCCGCCCGGAAGCAAGGACGAAGGGGACTGAGAGCACTCCATCAGGGCCCTGTGCAGGATAGGCGGCAAGTTGTTGCACAAAACCCAAATTAGGGAGAGCTCGACTACGGGCCACGGCACTGATGAGCCTGGTAAGGGCAACAGTAGAATCCAGGGCATCAATTTCAACAGGGAGAGTGCGGAGCGTCTGGGTGCCCGCCACCAGAGCTAATAACACCCTAGTTGTGCTCGTAGCAACCCCAGTTGTAGTAGCTGTCGTCCCCGTAGTGGCAGTAGCAGCATCGTCCCGCAGGAATGGACGAACAGCCAGCCACTCGATGGTTTCGAGTGTGTCCGGAAGAACATCATAGACTAAGCCGGCCTGGTCTTGCAGGTAGACTGTACCCTGACCCTCTACCCTCAGCTGTACTGCGACATTGGTGGTGACGAAAGGCCGAATGCGCGCAAAGACTTCATCAACCGGCATGTCGGGCCCGACGGGCGGACAGAAGATATCACCTCCAATGGGCCTCAGGTCCACCGGAATGATCCTCCACGGATCAACAACGTCCAGAGAAGTCGCAACCAGCTGTGGGGTGGCTATACCAGGCATGGGGCATTGGAGGGCGTGCATGACACGCAACGATTCATCATGCGATGCTTCAGCAAAAACTGCCAAATCAGTAAGCGTCCATTCCGGGTCCGCCAACAGCTTTTTGGGCCTGCTGTGCCATGCAAACAGGGTGTACTGAAAACGCTGTTGTCCATACGGACCGTTCCCTCGCACAAGCGAGAACTGGAGGGAGTCACGAATGGCACAGCCGTCCTCGAAGATGTAAGTGGGCCGACACTCGAAAGCGGGAGGGTGGAAAGTGGGCTGCAGGTGTCGGGCCCGTCCAAGCAACGAGGGAGCATCCTCCCTCAGGGCACACAATGCATCGAAATGCTGCTCGGGTCGCACTGCTGGGTCGGCATCAGGTTCATCAAAAAGCACCACAGCCCACTCCAAATCTACAAGAGGCACCCTGAAGTGCGCATGTCGACGCCCTGCAGAGTCGCGGATGGCACGTGGCGGGCCCTGTGGAAAGGTGACAAGCCGCGGAATGGGCGCTCCAGCCGCCAAGAGGCCAGGCAGATCATCCATGAGCGCTTGGTTTGTGATAACCGCAGTCACCACATTAAGGGCCAAGTCCCGAAGATCAAAGGGCACCGCGAGAGCCTGTAGAGGAGCACTGACCGGCGTCAGCGTCACTTGCGGGCGCGGTAAGCCGCCTATGGGATTTGTCACAAATTGGAGCGTGCGCACGGTTTGTGTGGATGATCCTGCAGCATCCGCCGCAAAGTCGCTGAGGCGCCAATCATCACCGCATGTGCGCACCCTTGGCCGCTGCCCTGGCTCAAAAACAGTGTACCGCCCCCTGCCTGAGTCATCAACTTCTGGCCTTAAGGTAGCCACCATTCTAGCCATAGGCAGGTAGAGGGCAGGCCCATCTAGGTCGGAGGGGAGAACACGGACGTGGGTAGCTCTCATGTATGAGATTTCACTAGGCATGGTTCCAGCCGCATGCCGCGTAGCCAGCTTCGGGCCCCATTCACTAAGAGGTCCGGCCCCGACAAATCGCGAGGGCAACGTCATGTTGAGAACTCCCGGTATCTGAAGCTTTGCCATATCAGATGCGAACTTGACCTGAGGGCCTTTCACCTTGGGCAGCGGAGGACTGCCATGGGACACCTGGGCATCACGAAAGGGAGGTGCAGTGCGGCCCAGTGCAATACCTTCAGGCCTAAGTTTCCCCAGCAGGCCTGGCGGTATGTCCGGCACCAGCACCGGTGCGACACCTTGGGTTGCAACCTCCCGCTCACTGGTGGCTAAGGAGCTGAGCGGCCCTGGAGTGGGGGCCTGAGTGCAAGGCAGTTGTGGCGAGGCCTGTGAGCGGCAGGTGCCGTCAGCACAGGGCGAGGACAACAGATGCAAGGTGGCCTGCACTGGAAGGTAGACCTGTGCAAGGAGCTGCCTCGTAAGGTGGTTGCGCCACCTGATGGCACCTGCCGAAAAGCAAACCTCAAGTGGTAGGTAGTGTGGCCTTGTGTGCAGGATCCCTGAAACGCACGCCCTACACTCAGCAATCTGTACACTATGTACAAGGCTGTCAGAGGCTGTACTCATCACTCCGCTTGCTTTATTGTCATGCCAAGGATTCGGCCGCAGCATTGGAGGAGAAGCGCCCTCCGCGTCACTCTCAACTGTGTTTTTGTCCATGTACACAGGAGTGTGGAAGAACGGCGCACAATCCTCTCCTACTGGGCCGTATCCCCTGAAACTGCCCACATCCAAGGTGCCAAGAAAACCGACCTGTCGCTTACGTGAAAAGCCCTCATTCACGGAAGCCAGAGGAGGATGCTCTGCACGCAGGTCTGCTCGGACCTGCTGAACGGCTCTGTCATATGCCGATGAAACCGGAAAGGCATGGCCTTGGATCCTCGGGTCATCCCACACTGTGTGACCAGGAAGCCCAATGTCCGTCATCTGGACCTGAAGTCGGTCCATCATACCCAAGAACTGACTGGCATATGGTCCCACATAACTCCAGTCAGATTGGATGCTGTGCTTTCCATCACACAGCTCGCTGTTCGGCTCGCACATAACCTGTCGGCTTATGAACGAGCCTCGCCAGGGTCCGTTTTCGTCGCTCGCAACGGCAGTCCCAAGCGAAAGGCTGACAACGGCCCACCTCTGGGCTTGTTGCCAACCCCATCCTCTTGCGGTGCCTCGTCTGGGAGCTCCTCCTTGGTGAGGTCGAAGTGAGGTACCCTCCGTGGTGTCCTCGAGCCTTCGCGGGCATGCTCCTGCGCCTGCTCTGCCGCTGTCTGGCTGAGGGTGGTCAAGACACTCAGGACCTTGGTGGTTGCCGCTTGTCGTTCTGAAGAGGCTGCCTTCAGCTTTGCCTCCTGCTCGATGGCACTGTCCACCATCTCCTCGGAGTTGTTGTCCTCCTCTTCTGCTTCCTTCTCTCCGGTGGCCGCGAGCTTGGCAAGCTGCTGTGTGGCATGCCTCTCCGCTCCGGTCCACTGTATTTCCGCCGCGTCCAGCTCCTCCATGATGCGTCCTTGTTCCTGGACCTGCTTTTCGACAAGTCCAGTGAGGCGCGACATATACTCGGACCACGCCTGAAGGTAGCTGGCGCGGCTGTTCTGCACCTTCGCCAGGGCTGCTCGAGCCTTGGCTTGATCTGCGACCGCCCGGTGTAGTCCACGAGTGGCCGCCTGTGCGCTGTTCTGCTGCACCTCCGCTAGGATCTGCTGGGCTGCCTCGGGGAGGGCAGCTGAGGAGCCAGCCAACAACCGCACCAATGTATCGAGCTGGCTTTTCTCGGGCTGCGCTCCAGCATCCGCCGAAGGCCTCTTGGGCCCTGCGATAGTGGGAGGCGCCGGTGGGGCAGGTAGGTCGTCCACTGTGGGTGCGACCCAAGTCTGCTCCTCTTTGGTCTTCGTCTGCTGCTTGCCGGCCCCTTTGGTCTTTCCGTTGTCCTTGCCCTTGCCCCGACCCTTTCGCCGAGGTGAGGCTGAAGGCTTTCTCCTGGGCGACCTTTGCGTGGCATCCCAGTTGTCCCATGTATCGCGCCACGGTGGTCCCACCACTGCGGCCGTGTAGGGCTCTCGGGCCGTGTTGGCTGCTTTCTGCCAGCTCTGCCCACACCCTGGGCAGAAGTTGGCATCCTTCTTGACCGTCCTGCGGCACGACGGGCACCACCATCCTTGGCCTTGTTGCGCCATCGTCCTTGCAGTCAGTCGTCGACGAACTTGTTCTGGTAGCACGCTTTTGCTGTGATGTGACTCCAGCACAGTGCACGCGTGCTGTAACCTCGATGGGGACACTTGTCCGTGCCCCTTCAGCCAGAGTTTCAACACAAACCTCGCCCGCGTCCTTTGCCGGCGCGCTCGTCGATGCTGTGCTGTCTCCGTGGTAAAAGATCTCGGCACTGCTCGCCAGCAAAATCACCCAGATTGTCCAGCGATACAAGCCACCAAGCATATAACTTCACCCAGAAGATGCCAGTCGCCTGCTCTGCTCACCCAGGAGCACAGCAGGCAAGAGGCAACTCAAAACTGAACGCTCCAGCCACACCAGTGGGGAGCCAAGCCAAACCACCTCGCAAAGCGTACAGTGGCAGGCGGTATACCAGGGCGTCGGCAGTAAAACTGCAGCGAAGCCAGGCAACGACGTAAAAAGGCGATTTCCTGCTCGACGCCGCAGCGGAGCAAAATCGTGGGCAGATACACCGCCACACTAGGGTTCCTCCGGCCGGGGCACTTCCACTGCTACCCTGGGCCGAGACGCCTAAGTTAAGGGTTTAGGGTTTAGGGGCTAGGGAGGGATGAAGGGCTACCATCCAGATCCTCGGGCTTCTTGTGGGCTTTACTATGTTTCTTTTGGGCTTTTATAGGGCTTACTATGTTTCTTTAAGGTTTTGGGGTTAGTTTAGGGTTTGGGGTTTTACCATCAAGATCCTCGGGCTTTTCTAGGGTTTTGCTATGTTTCTTTTGGGCTTTTATAGGGTTCACTATGTTTCTTTCTTGAAGGGTTTGGGGTTAGTTTAGCGTTTGGGGGTTTTACCATCAAGATCCTTGGGCGTTTATAGGGCTTAGGGGGTTTAGGGGCATGGTGGTTTACCATGAAGATCCTTGGGCTTTTGTAAGTTCTAGGGCTTAGGGGGTTTGATGAGGTCTTATGGGGTTTAGGGTTTAGGGATCCTTGGGCATTTATAGGGTTCAGGGTTAGGGGTTTAGGGTGTAATGTTTAGGGTTTAGAGGGCCAGGGATGATACCATCGAGATCCTTGGGCTTCCGTATATCGAGTTTAGGCTTTAGGGCTCGCTAGCTTTCTTGAAGGGTTTGGGGTTTTACCATCAAGGTAACTTGGGCTTTTATGGGGTTAAGGGTTTAGGGAATTTAGGGGGTTTAGGGGCTAGGGATTATAGGGATTAGGGATTAAGGGCGCTTAAGGATACCCCCAAGATCCTTGGGCTTCTACAGGGTTTAGGGATTAGGGATTAAGGGCGCTTAAGGATACCATTAAAATCATTCTATAAGGGTAGTATAAGGGGGTTTGGGCTTGAGGTCTGAGAGGGATGAGGGTTTAATTTAGGAGCTCTTAAGGACACCATCACGATCCTTGGGCTTCGGAATTTCGAGCTTTTGTTTTTGGTGGCTTTGGGTTTCTATTGGGGCTCGGGCCTTCTATCTAAGGACTTTAGGAGGGACCCCTAATAGTTATATAGCCAGGTAGTCTCCATATCAACCCCAATAACCTACAAGCGTCCCTATTAAGGGTCCCTTAGATTCTATGTTTCTATAGTTAATGGTCTTGGGTTAGTTTAGGGTTGGGGTTTTACCACCCCTATCCTCGGGCTGGGGTTAGGGGTTTAGGGTTTCTATTGAGAAAGGTTGGGTCACCGCGCATTTAGGGGTTAATTATAGGGATTAGGGGTTTAAGGGCTCTAAAGGATACCATCAAGATCCTTGGGCTTCTGTAAGAGTAGTATAAGGGTGTCTGGGCTAGTGGTCCTATTGCCAAAGGAGAGTTAAGGCGTCTACAAGGGTTTAGGGTTTCTGGTGTCACCAGCAAGAGCCTTGGGTTTCCATAAATGGAGTGGGGTTTGTCCAAGGGTTTAGGCTTCAGGGTAACCCCGAATCCTAAAGCCTTACAGACTGAGGATTCTCAACGACGACAAGTCCCTGGACCTTTTCAGGAGCTGATCCGGGGCTTAGGGCTTCAGGTTTAGGATCACAGAAGGCTTTGAGTTTAGGGTCTCGGGTCTTTTCCCGTGGGGGAGTGGGGCAGTCGCGGCTTGTTCTGTGGCTCTGAAGTTTAGTTTGTACCCCCTTAAGCCCTCCTTGAGGTTTCTAAGGTCAAGTTCTGTCTGTTTCAGGCCCTTTTTGTCCGGAGAGGTCTGCAGGTCATCCGAGGCCGCCTGCAACGAATGCTCTTGTACACCGTGATTTTCCTCAGCCCCGAACCCGAACCTAAAACTCCACAGCACTCACGAAGCCCTCCGCCATCAGCCCCCCAAACCCTCGTGTCAGGAGCCGCAGTGCAGCTTTGATCCAGCTGTCGAGCAGCCGCGAGAAGTCGCGCCATGACGCGCTGAGTTTGATCTCTGCGGCCAAGGAGAGACTCGTCTCTTCTAGACACGGTAGAAGTCGGCATGATTACCAATAGTGTTCCTTAGGGTTCGCAACTATACCCAGACTCTAATTATCCTAACCCTGCTCCATTTGTCTAGGCCTTCTAGGGATTTCATATTGTTCGTTTCAGGCTGTCTGCGGACGAGGACTGGTTTCGCCTGGAAGCCTCCTGAGGCTATCATATGTGTGTGTATGTATGTATGTATGTATGCATGCATGTATGTATGTATGTATGCATGTATGTGTATATATTTTTTCTTTATATGGTCGCCCCCCCCCCCCCCCC